CGGCCCTACGTACCGCATTGCAAATCTATTCTACTTCTACTCTACAATTCATTTCATATCATGTGTCAGGCAGGCAAGGCCACCTGCACGGTATGCGGCGCCATCGGATAAATACGCCGCTTCCCTTGCGCCGATCCTCACCTCCCACGCGGGGCCAGAGAGAAGCTTGGTATGGTATATAATAATAATATGAAGATGATGAGGAGTGCAGTTATATTATATCGACAGCGAATTGGAGCCGCTCGGACATGCACATGCAGACTGCCTGCAATATCTACACGTGAATCATGTCGGTCGTCCATGCCCATCACGGGCAACAAGACGAAGGAAGAAGAAGAAGTGGGCACATGTCCCTCTCTATCCCTTGTTGCTGCTGTCCACCGTAAGTAAAGGAGAATCAAAAATCAAAATCATCCAAGAGTGAAGTTGAGAGAAAAAAATGAAAATAAAACTAAATAAATAAATATACACACATATACACATACCTACATACATACATACATACACACATACACACATAAGCAAATTATTGGTTGGGCGGGCGGTTGAACGGTTGAATTGATTGAACAGTTGCGGTTATTTGGAAAATCATCCCAGCCAGTCGTAGCATGGGCATGGGAAGGAGCCTGCATGAACCCAAGTCCGCATGCCTCATCAGTGGAGCTCGCACGGGTTCCTCAAGGCTCTGCTGCGAGGCAATATTATGCACTGTCACCCGTCTCACAGAAGCACACACACGGAAGCAAGCCATCGCGCGGTGTTCACAGGTTTTTTTTTTCTTCTTCCTTTGTTACCTCCGCCCCGATCCTTTTCGGCCCCTGTGCGACTAACTGCACGCAACGCTCGGCACGGGCACGGGCACATCGCTATATAGTAAAGAGTTTTTTCAAGATCGAGAATGATGTCCCGCTTGTCAATCAAAAAGGGCGATGATCTCGTAGCGGCGACGACGGCGGCAGATTGGTGATGATGATGATGATGATGATGATCGCAAGTCTCTATGACATGGCATGGGAACTTGGAACTGGAAGAAACAAGTTCCAAGTTCACATCATTCACTTGTATTCTCCGGTCTCCCGGAGCTAATTCCTCATATGATTTGTAATCTAATCGTGCTTCGGGGGCGGGGGTCACCACCTGAGATCCCAACAACACAGAAGAAGCGCGACAGCCAAGACCCGATACCTAATGTTAGACGCCTGAACTAGGAATGGCGCCCAAGGTCAGCTGCAGCTGACACGTATACTTTGTGATGGGTTGATGTTGATAAAAATTAATAATCCACTGATAATTCGTTCATGCTATGATATGATACAATCTTCTCTAAGGTTCAGATTGTACATTGTCTTATCGACAACTTTCTCTATTTTTTTCCAGTCACTACGCCGCTGAATGAACTCGTAAATGTCCTAAAATGTTGGTTCCGTTCCCGTTCCTTGATCAAATATCAAATCGTGGGGTTGAACTGGGTTTGGCTCACCTCGGGCCGATACGCCCCACCGTAACGTGTTACGTCACGGACGATTTGCGCAAGGTCCTTTGCGTCTTCCACAATGAACACATGACCTAACATTTTCAAGTTTGCAAAGTCGGATGTCAATGATTGAATCTGCCGTACACGTGTCAGAAGTGTGGGAATGAACAAAGAAAAAAAAACGAAATTAACTTTAAGCGAAGAAATGAAGGTGTGGTAAGTGTTCAGATCAGCAATGACTTGAAAACCTCCGTTCAGAGAAATAATTTGACGCTTGATGTGCTTCTGTAAAATCCTGTATTCAAAATCGTAACCATGAAGCGTTCGGTTCGGCCGCAATCGAGAAATAACTTACCCGATCAACCTCACCCCAACCTCGCCTTCAAAAACTTCCAGCACTTCTCGGTTGACATTTCCTTGAAGGAGCCGTATGTGCTCCTCGAGACATTTTATAGCCTCCGTACATCCTTTGGAAGGACCGAGAAGGAGGGGAGCATCTTCCGGCGGGTAATATGTCCGCGGAGGAGTGAGAGCCGTGATGATATGGTCAACCTGGAACAAACAAACTCCAGCCAGCTAGCTTGTGCAAAACCTAGAAGTTTTGCTAACCTGGTTCATGAGAACCTCGATCCCAGCGTTCAATCCTTTTGCGACAGAATCGTCGAGTAGGTTCTCGAACCGTTTCTTCTCTCTGACTACCGGGTTCAAGAAATCTGTCAGGTCAACGTGCGGGGCCTAACAAAGCCAAGGTCGGACACGCTCGGAAAGACGCTGTGAAGGGGCGAATAAAAAGTCCCACCAGTTCTTTATCAAAGTACACTTGTACAATGCTCTGGATCATGTCTCCGATGTGAACCAGTTCAAAAAATTGCACTAATGGCGCAACTGATGTCGACGCTGGCGCCGGTTCTTCTGGCTCCGAAATAGGATCTGAAAGTTCGGGTGGCTGGTATGCCCGCATCTGTGTTATTGCCCTAGTATTGCAAATGTGCCAAGATGCCAACAAGCAATGAGATGGGCTCAAATCACGCTAATAGAACGGCCAACGCACGATTCGAACCCGGCTCTCACATGTCGCTCGCCAAGTATGCCAAGCAACTCACTCGCCACCTCTTCAATCGTCTCCCGAACTCGGATACCGTAAGTTCCGGGATAATTAACAAAAATCTCTACACGCTTGAGCGATTCCCGCGTAGCGTGAATCAACTCAAGGGTGACATCGAGAGAGAGAAGAAGCTGAAGATTGTCGTACGAGGATATCCGTGAGGGTCGTGGGGCTACGGACGTGGTCGCGGGTGCTGTTGCGTCATCACCTTGTTCGTTAGTGACCTCAAGGTTGTCTCCATCATCCCAGAGCACAGCGTTCGCGCTATCAGTCCCTTTAGTATATCCCTCACTCGCATTTATTTGCCCGGCTCCGCCCCATCGACGCGGATCTAGCATTGCGATACCATGAACCGCAGCACCGGAGACAGTCTCAACTGTGCGTGGAACAATAGACACTGGAATGAGAAGAAGGTTGGTAAAAGTCGAAAGAACATTGCTTTTGAGGCGAGCAGGGGAGGAAGAGGCGAGGAAGGTAGGTTGTTGAGTCACTAGCGGCGGCGATGCATCGGTATGAAGGGTCGTCTGCGTGCATACCACGTCTGAGATGAGCTCAGAAGACCGGGTATGAAGTGTTGGGCGGGCGGGATGGGCAATACCTTTTTTTCCCAATCTCGGCACGTCTGTTCGAAAATATGCTTCAAGGAATCTATCTCTTCATCAAGATACTCGTCCATGTTGGGTTCGAACATCCGGTACCTACGGGATTGGGGCACGAATTTAAGATATGAGCCACGGATCGATCGTGAAAAAAAAAAACCATAAGAAGCGGAGGGGACATAGTGTGCTCCAAATAAACGCAGAGAACACACGTACACGACGTCCTCGGCCTGTGTCTTGGTGACTTCCCCCCTCTCGTTAGGCGGATGTCGTTGACTGGCAAGTTCGAGAAGGGTATCCACCATGCGCCAAGCTTCCCGAAAACATGCCGCCGCCGCTTTCAAAAACAAGGCACCGTTCGCCAGAGAGCGTGCGTGTGTGAGAAGAGGTGTGATGTATTCAGAAACCTAAGATATTCAGGGGTGAATGGAAGGGTAGGATGAAAACGAGGTTTGATAACGTACTACTTCCGCAGCAATGTGATCTGCAAAAGACAGGAGAACGCCTGCGTCGCGGGGGAAGACGCGTACAGCACGGGAACCATGCTCCCGAAGCGCGTCCAACACAAAAGCCATAAAAGTGTCCATGGCTTCGAAATTCAAGGTGTCCTCTGAGCTAATTTCTCGTTATTTCACATCTTCCGAGTAGCATGGAAGCGGAACGCATAACATACGTGAAATTGTCAAGAGGTTTGTGCGAACTTGTGACGTAAAAAATCTCCCGTTTTTCAGCCCACACGCGTCCCATTTCCCATTCAGCAGTTGCCCCGCTTCCGCTATCGTGGGGATCCCAAATTTCCCAACTCGCTTCAGCCGCCTCGCGCATACCAGCTTCGTTCGCGTTCCCATCTGCGATATCAAAAGCGCTGAGCAAAGTAGCATCAAAACGGTCGGAAGCAGAGCGAAGGGCGGACAGCAGGGATGGCGCAGATCGAAGGGGTTCGAGAAGGGAAAGAAACCGGTGAAGAAGGCGGAGTGTTTTGGAACGATGCAGTAATGAAAGCAAAGGAGCTGATGCGGTTGCGGGTCGGAAGAGGGAAGTGAGGATTTGGTGAGGGGGTTCGAGAAGCGCTGGGGCGAGGCTCTTCAGAAGTTTATGCGCACGTATGTAGAGAGCGCGGAAGGAAGTGGTACCGAGGACGTTTGTGCCGTGCATCACTGTATCGCTACCAACAAAGTTGCCCACTTCGGAATAGGAGGTAGAGAATAATCCACTTTGTGAAGCAGATCCCCCAAGCCCCAAACCAAAGGTGTCCGTTCCGGATGTAAAATCGCCAAAATCATCATCTGCAACGTCCACGGTTAGTGTAGGAGGCTGTTCTGGCACCTCTTGACGCGCCCGACTCTCCAGTTCATCAAGCACGGGACCAAACCCGTAGCGGTCGATACCTAAGAGAACGTAGTGATGCTCCCATAGCACTTCAGAAGTAGAAAGGCGAGCCAAGGCACGATTAGCACGGGCATAAGCCGGGACGTCGGGTACTGGGATATAATGTAGGATGACCAAGTGAAGCGAGGAGGGGAGTTTTCCAATAAGTGTCGATGCGGGGCCGGACGCAGTATTTTTCGACCTGATTGTAGATCCTTGGTGAAGTTTAACGGGTTCGAGAGCTTTAAACTTGTCCATTCGACGTTTATTATCCTCCGAGTCTGACGGTTTAGACGGCCATCAGCCTATGACCTACAGCCTAGCCTGTGCTATGGAGGTATTGTGGTTGTGGGATGGAGATGGGGATGGGACCTGTGGCCTATGGACCTATGGGATTTCCCCTCTGGTTTAGCGCCGGATTATATTATTGCTCGCAATCAATACCATCATTGTTGGCCCAATGGTCTAGTGGTACGATGCTCGCTTTGGGTTATGCTTTCGCTTGACGCGTTGCGAGCGGTCCTGGGTTCGAACCCCAGTTGGGCCCCAACTTTTTTTTTGGTTTTTTTTTTTGTGGTTTTTGTTTGAGTGACAGCAGCCCTAAACAGCTCGCACGCCAGGGCTCGCCTTCAATAAAGCACGAGTATTTCGAGCCAAACCCCGTACCTGTCAGAAGCAAGTGCTACCTTTCTAGTCCCCCTAATTTGTATTGTACAATATATATTTTCGCGCAATATCATTTCCAAATCAACAGGAAAACGCTATAGACCCACGAGTACTTTACAAAGTTTCGATCCATTTAAGAAGGGAGCTGTTCACCTGGTCCGGGACCGAAAACAAGAGCCAGTGATCAGTGGCGAACTCCTCGAGGGTGAAAGGACCCTTGGCGAGGGTCTTGAAAGCAGCTGTGTGAATGGGCGGGAGGCAGACTTGGTCCTTCGTGCATGCACCGAAGTAGGTCGGCTTTTGGATGGGAATTCTCTCCGGGGGAACAACTGATCAAAATGTGTGAGTGCCCGTGAGCGATGTGAAGCCGACTAGGTGGATGCTCACGCTTGTCGTCCTCAGCAAGGGCGCCGGAGGACATAACGTGGTACCACTGGAGGGGGCCAGCGAGGCCACCGCTAAGGAGGACCTCGCGATAGTGTTCCTTGTCCTATGGCAAGGAATGTTGGTAAGATACAGGTAAGGTGACTAAGGCTGTACTAGAATGCGCACATACCTCTGGGGTAATGTAGGATGGTAGGGGGGCCTGGCGATCAGCCTCGAGCCAGGCCTTGGTGGCACCTCGAACGCCAATGTGCTCAACCCAGATGTTGGGATCTTGGGGGAAGAACAAGCTGAAGAACGAATCGAACTGAATAGCGGCGTGAGATCAACATGTTCAATCGGGAAAAGATACACCAACGTGATTCTCGATGATCTTGTCAGCACCCTCCTCATAGAAGAAGTTCCAGTATCCAATCACATCACGACCAACGAGTTGTTTGAAGAGCTCGACGGCCTTCACAGGGTCAGAGTCGGGGCGTGGGGCAAGGTAGCCAACGGTGAGGAAGGCGAAGCCCGAAAAGCGCTCTGGCTTGTCATTTGCGAGACGCGAAACTACGCGTGAGCCCCTAGTAGGCGTATCAGCAAGTGAAAACAACCCGAAAGGTAGGATTCACCAGTCGTGGCCGATAGCAACAGCCACCTGTACGCCCTCAGCGTCCAGGATGTCGACGATGTCCTGGGCCAAGCCAGATGGGACGTATTTCTTGGGATCAGAGGGCTTGTCGGTGCCGCCATATCCCAGCAAGTCTGGGACAATCAAACCAAAACCTTTGCCTTGAAGAATGAAACTTGATTCTTCCAGTCCCAAGAAGAAGACGGGAAACCATGGAGAAGAACGAGAGTAGGCGAGCCCTCCGTAGCCTTCGCGTAATAGTAGTTGTATGTGAGGCCACGGCTAACAGTGAGTTTCTTGTAGGCAGAGGGGTCCATGCTTGATAGTTCGTTCTGGGTAACAAACAAGGACAGGACTAGTCACCTCTTATATATTGTAGGTATGCTCAGCCGATTGGAAGTAAGCGCCCTAGAAGATTTACATTGTAGTCCAGTGACACATCGAGATACATCCTGATCGACTGGCATTAAACAACTGTGATTGTAGCAGCTTTGATCTTGCCAATACAAATTGAGCCACTAGCTTGATCCGGGGGGGATGAGCTCGGTTTGTCAAACAGCAAACCCATTTGCCGGTTCCGGCAATCGTCGGGTAACCAACTTTCCGATTCCGTTGAGATGAGACGAGACAACATCTCGAGTGTCGTGTCGTGTATATTCGTATAGACCGTTTTACCCCTGATTCCTTGATATTCTGAAAATTCGTTCATTTGAATGTTGGCATCAGTCTGTTATACATTACAACTTGATCTCCCTTATTCCATCCTTATCAACAACCTTTACGATATAATTTCCGGGTGCAACTACCAAGCGCTTTGCGGTCTCATTTATAGCACGTCGAAGGACGTCAAGACCTTCTTCCAATGAGCCTTCAGGGTTGTGGTATCTAGAAGGGGGTCACGCTCAGTCAGCTATTGATGGAACTGCCAGGATTCAACTCACCGGTCTAATAAGCTAAGCGCAAAATAACTTCCGTACCCATGAGCGGCGAAAGGCACCGAAGCCATAGTACCAAGATAATCAACCCAGTAAAGGTGTGGTGAGTTGTCTGCTACATCATATCCACCAATAAGCAAGTTGACAGTGTAAGGTGAGCGCGAGCGCAGTGACTCTGCCAGAGATCGGCGGATCCATGACGCAGCAGACTGCGGGCGAAGTGGATAGAGGTTGCGGATGTGGTAGAGTCTGATGTTTCGTTCGATGTATTCAGCGAACTGGATGGTATCGCCTATAAGGAAGAGGGATACTAAGGACTCGAGAATCCTTGCGACGATGTATGATGCGTGAACGTACCTGACTCTCCAGAGTAGGCCATAAGAAGGTGGGGGCTGAGTGTTTTGATCTTGTCCTCATCAACTTTCATTTTTACGATAGAACGTGCTGCCGTCGTGTCCGCGGCGACGAGGACATAGTCCTTCCCTGTAAGTGCGAATGAACACTCCATGGACTTGTTTATGAAAGTGGTGACTGAAAGTGGTGACGCGTCAATCCCCCTGGTGGGGGTCAAAGATGGATTATGTAATCATTAGCCTTACTTAATTCAGGACGAAGACAGGACGCATCCACACAGCAGAACAAAGAGTCGAGCGGGGTAGCTAGAGCAACATTTTTAGAGCGATGAAGCGACGGAGAACAGGATGAATTCTTGGAACAATTCTACAGCCCGTTTTATATAGTTAATGTGTACAATACTTGACAATCTACATCATGAGGGATCGAGACAGTAGTAACTAATCTGAAACTCATGAAGACAAAAGGTGTCGCGTTTGCTTTCGCACACAAAAATTCTAGAGTGGTAGCCTTAGTAACAAGGAAGGTGTAAGGATGGCTCGGGCGTTGAGCATGAAACCACCTCTCCTCTCTTTCATGAATTAGAGCACTTATGATCTAGTTCCGTATATTATTATCTTTTATCAGTTACTCAGTACATTTGCATGCCGGGCCGCATGCCTGTCCATTCCTTACTCCAGTTTCACTACCTCCCCGCCCCCGTCTTAACTGCCAGGTTTCTACCTTTCCATCTACACCTCTCCGCCTTTATTGCCTGGCTTCATCTCACTTGTCTCCTTTCAATCCTAATTCACCCTCTTTCGGCTTCATAACTAGGTCTCTCTGCAAGTATATAAGGGTACATACAATGCTTGTAGTAGACCAGCCAGTGAGCCACCAGAAGCAGAAATCAAACGGCATTTCTCTCTCTTTTTACCTTTCTTTTGTGTGCTAAAAGAACTTCTTGATGACATCAAGCGCAAGGTCAAATGGAACCAGCAAGCAGTAGATTCGCAACAGTTCAAGCACGATACACCCTCCTTTGAAATCTTAGTTTCTCTCTCTGGGACCTCTCTAACTTCCACCTTTCTTCTCGGTAACGCTTTGCCTCGCACTCACCGCGGATTGGCTCCGCACAGAGGGTGAGACAAAAATGTAATTAATCATAAGTAATATCATCACAAAAAGTCATGACCGAAACATGCCCCCCCAAAGGGGGTGTCCGATTTTTTTTTTTAAAAAAAAGGGGGCGTCCAAATATTCTATTCGGGCAGGCACATAGCGATCCCCGATCCCCGAAGCCGAGTGCGGCAGACCAAAATCCGCCAACAATTCGAGTCACGTTAACGCACTGCACAAAATCCTCATTTCTTACGGTGCAGACGCGAAGCCCCATCGCACATGACATTGGGAAGCGGATGCCTTGACATCGCACGATTACTGCTACGGCCCCGTGCGTTGCGAATGCCCAAGACAGCCTGGGCTCGACTCCATCGCACGGTATCGGGAAGTGAAAATATTGATGTAGCGCGGTTGTTGCTCCAGCACGAAGCAGACCTTGATATCCAGGAAAATGAGAACAGATCAGGGTATCAATCCTTGTCACATTACAACGAGAGGCGGGAGCATAGAAAATGTAACGCGTTACGCGTCCCAACCTGTGTTAAAGGAGGAACCCTCTACTATTGCTACATACATAACTATGTCCTGTCGTGCCGTAAAATAGTACTTGTCTCGCCAAAAGTCATGAATGAGGCAAAAGCCTACTGAGAGGTACAAAGTACGCCTCGCAAATGGCCGAAAAATAAAACTCGTGTTCAGAATTGTGTGGGTGAACGAGATTGTGAGCGATCTCATGTGCCAGCGTGAAGTACCTGTCAAGGGGGCATCGGTCAAGCAGTAAACGGTACTGGGATAACCAAATACCAGGAAATGAAGGCCTTGTTGAAATCACCTCGTTGGACATCGTGGTCGTCTGGTAGTATGGTTGAGGCCGCAATTTGGTCGAGCGCAGAAAATCTGAACTTACGCCAGGCCTCATAATACCGTAAGTTCATAAATAAACTTCCGCCCCTATTGAACGCAACGAGCTGCCCTTCTTTATCAGCGAAAACGTGCAAGCATGCTTGCGGAATCTTGTAGACTGCCACAAGTGGATTGAGCACATAAAGGAAGCGGGCTAGCACATCGTGCTTGCGGTGAATAAGCGTATCGCGCTCTGGAAGATCTATAGGAGATGATTTGGTGCACAGTTACCGAGGTGGGTAAAGGAATCATACCTTGTGTAGCGAAGACTTTCACGCCACCCATACTACCTGTAGATTCCGCGATAGTAAGCAGATAATATCACCGCACAAGCGAGCTGAACACGTGCCAACAAGATCTAAGTCCCCTGCTCGTCCTGAGACGTCACAGTATCCTTCATCCAGCGACTCTTTCACCACTTGCATCTCCTCTCGATTCCTTAATAAGTTGCTCCTCTCGGGCGCGCATGCTCTAATAGCCATGTCGATATTGTTGGCTAGGCAGGAGAATAGCATAGGATGAAATCAAAATATAAGAAGTATGTGGAACATACCAATGTTAGCCAGCGGAGTGACGTTAGGACCCGGCTGG